TTGAAGTGAACTTTGTGAACCTGAATTAGACAACACGAAGAAAAGTTTAATGACTTAAACTCCTTGAATTCTAGGTGCCAAACTGTTCATTCCATTCTGACTTTGGTAATCACAACTAGATCAGGAGCACTGACCTAAGATGTATTTTCCTTATACTATCGTAAAAATAATGTAAGTCTAAAACAGATATGGTAGCTCTAGTATTGATGAGAGATTGCTCCTTCCAGAAGACATATTCCATAGTTTTCAAACTGTGTGTTACCCTTAGACTAGAATTGGGAACCCTGTTCTCTACTACACTTCTAGATTTGGGGGACTGGTATTATTCTGTTCTCTAGATTTGGAGGAGTGTTCTTCTAGATTTGGAGGACTGGTATTATTAGCTGTACTGAGGCCGACCTTTAGCCTCTACTGAGGCTCTTCCTTTTGATAGAGGGGGTTCAACCAAAGAGTGACATAAATTAATTTTTTACTTCAGTCCTGAATTCTAAATTCTGATTGTCCACAGCGAGTCAAAGTTCACTGACACCTGGACTTCAACAAATCCAGATTCCCTCTGTGTTGTGGTGGGACTCTCAGGGTTGCTTGTTCCAGGGACCATCATCATCATAGGCAATAAGGGACAAGACTGCCTCGTTTGACTCCCTTCAGTTATCCATCACCATCCCAGCTGGTCTTGCACGTTCAGACACTTCTGTTGACATCATATTGTAATGGTTGCAGCAAATGGGTATAAGTTGAAACCCAGGCAGTTCCATCTCCATGTGGGGAGGAACTTCTTCACTGTGAGGGTGCCAGAGCCCTGGCACAGGCTGCCCAGGGAGGCTAGGGAGTCTCCTTCTCTGGAGGTCTCCAAACCCACCTGGATGCCACCCCGTGCTCTGGGTGTCCCTGCTGGAACAGGGGGCTGGACTACATGATCTGTAGCGGTCCCTTCCAACCTTGAAGATTCTGTGATTCTATGAAATCCTGCTGTCATTGTTTAAAAGTATCACTCTAATGGACTGCAGTGCAATCCCCACGTGTTCTCAGGGAGCTTTTCACTTGAGTCAGGGGAATATCATTGAGCCCTCTGCGTGAAGCGAGGACAAAAGGCTGTGCAACAAGGATACAGCAAACCTTCCTGAGGCAGCCCAGCTGCAAGGAGCATGAACACGTTGGCCTCGGGGCCATAAATCATACCCTACATGTATGTCTTCAGCAGGGATCCTGCAGCTAGTGTTCCTAGCAAGCTGAGCAGCAGGTGATGGCCTCCTTGTTGTCCCAGAACACATAGACCATGGATCTCAGCGAATAAGATCTTCCAGGTTAGGATGCTGGTAGGATGGATGAGATTCCTGTCTACTATGAGAATTCAGGGAACAAAATGAGATCGTCTGCTCTGTGGTTCCCAGATTTTTTGTATTTTTTGAAGTTGGGTACAACATTTGCCTTTCCCCAGTCATCAAGGATCCCCCAGATTTCCGCACCCTTTCAAAGATAAATAACTGTAGCCATGCAAAAATGCCAGTCAGTGCTACCAGCCATCTTCTGTGCACCCTGTTGAGTCCCGTGGACTTGTTTGGGACAAGTGCTCTCAAAGCAGTCCCTGACTTTATCCTTATTCACTACTGATACGTCTTATCCTCCTTTAAACTTTTCACAGAGGCCATAGAGACCTTGTTTGTGAAGATTAAAAAAAAAAAAAAAAAAGGCATTGAATACCTCAGTCTTCTCTGTGTCTGGTGTCTCACCACTCCATTTAGCAACAGTCCTACATTTTGGTAACCTGTGCCTGTTTCCATCATCTCTCCATCTCCTGATGGACCCACTTGTTTTCCTGAGTCTTGCACTTGGGGAATGCTCTTCATAAGATGCCAGATTTCCTGAAAAGCACTCATTTCAGTTACATATTACATTATCAGAATGGAGATAGCTCTGCCTGTCCTGGTTTTCTGGAAAGAAGACTATTGCTCTTAAGATGCAGTGCGTTCAGGCAAAGCACTCAGGGTACCTGAACAGAAGGATCTAATGATCTAGACACCCAAAGGCCTCTCAAGTATGTGTACAAGGCTTCCAGGCATTGCATAAAGTCTCCAGACATTTTCCATTTCCATTTTGATCCGCAATGATCAAAACTCTCTTTTGACTGTTAAAACCTTCCATCTTCCATCTTCCATCTTCCATCCTCCATCTTCCATCTTCCATCTTCCATCTCTTGTATGAGGAGAGACTGAGTGAGCTGGGCCTGTTTTCTCTGGAGAAGAGAAGGCTGAGAGGGGATCTGATTAACATGTATAAGCTCAGGAAGGGAGAATGCAGAGAGGAAGGGGACAAGCTCTTCTCATTGGTGGCCAGCGAAAGGACAAGGGGTAATGGCCATAAGCTGGAGCACAGGAGGTTCCTTCTCCAGGTGAGGAGCAACTTCTTTACTGTTAGGGTGACAGAGCAGTGGAACAGGCTGCCCAGGGAGGTTGTGGAGTCTCCTTCTCTGGAGGTCTTCAAAACCCGCCTGGATGCCACCCTGTGCCACATGCTCTAGGTGTGCCTGCTTGAGCAGGAAGGTTGGACTAGATGATCTCTAGAGGTCCCTTCCAACCTTGAATATTCTGTGATATTCTGTGATCTTCCTGCAGTTTACAATTTAGTTAGAAATTCTTGCCAGGCACCAAGGGGAAATGAAGATGATGATCATTAACCATTCAGTACAGAAGGAAAGAGGGTGACTTCAAGCTATAGACTGAGCGACACGTGATTCTCTATCAGTGATGACTCTGGAGCAAGTCAACACTACAGGATGTTTTGCAATGAGGAAGTTCTGGAGGAAGAACATCCATGATATCACAGTATACATTAATCTATGATTCCAATGATCTAAAGAATTCAGGCACTAAACTTAGGCATTTTCTACTAAAAGAAGCTGACATCCTCTCCCTCTCCTAAAATCTGATACCACCAAGAGAACTTTTCAGAGAACAACTATGAGGTACCGTTCAAAACATGTTTTTTCATACAGATAACAGCTGTATAGCTAAGACAGGTTAAGACAGCACAAACCTAAATCTATTCAGTTATTTCAAATGCAGAATAATTATAGGATATCATGTCACAATTTAAGAGCAAATGGCAATGTGAAGATTAAATTACATAGCAAAACACTTCAGTCATATGAAGCTTTTAAACGGAAAGGTTATGAAACTTCCAGTCGTATGAAACTTCTTTTTTTAAGGAAGGAAGAAATGGAAGAAAGGGAAGGATGGAGGAAGGAGAGGAGAGGAGAGGAGAGGAGAGGAGAGGAGAGGAGAGGAGAGGAGAGGAGAGGAGAGGAGAGGAGAGGAGAGGAGAGGAGAGGAAACAACAAAACTCACAAGGTTTGCATGGATTTAATCTGAGGTTCCTGAATTATGCTTAAAACATTCTTTTAGGCTAACATGTAAGTGGGAAATGAGTTGAAAAGTTCAGAAGAAAAGTTCTGCATGTACTTGCTTTCCGGGGCACTTTGGGGATACATTCCCCATTTTTAATATGCATGCTCTGAGCTAAAAGGGAATTCTTGTCCTCACCATCCAGTCAGTTCAATCTTATCCTATTCCGCAAATTGGTTGCTTTAATTTCCGGTAGAAATGCCTGACAATGATGAGATAAAAGATTTCAGCATTGCAACAGCTTTGGGGGAAAAAAGTTCCTTCTGAGGAACTAAACTTAGGGCCTAATCTTGTGTGCAATTAATAGCACTTACTGATAAAGGACCAAGGACTTCTCACTAATTGTTGTTGTGATGGATAATTACAGTCAGTGGGATAATCAGAAAGCGATTTTAAATTGCCTCCTGCTCTCAGAAGCAAGAAAAGGAGACAGGGCAGTTGTTTCTTGGTTACTAGGAGAGGACTCCTGAGAGTTTATATCTGTGGATGTGTTTGCCAACAAAAACTCCTGGAGCCTCCATAGGCAGGAAGGAAGATCTCAGGGAAGGTGAGAGAGATGACAGCTGATTTCCCAGGGAGCTGTAAATGCCACATTTATTTAATCCTAATCCTTCAAATCCTTTGAAGACCTTGAGGTCTTCAAAACCGCTTGGATGTTGCCCAGTGCCACATGCTGTAGGTGTGCCTGCTTGAGCAGGAAGGTTGGACTAGATGATCTCTAGAGGTCCCTTCCAACCTTGAATATTCTGTGATATTCTGTGATTCTTTCAGCCCTGCAGCTAAAGTGAAGGAGACAATCATACCAGCCAACTCTGATGTTCTAGGTAAAAATGACCTGGACAAATATGAGGCAGCTCCCTCAGCAGCTGCAACTCTAAGGTGAGGGTGAAGTGATGCTCGGACACCACTACGTGGGTGCCTGAAGTTAGGTGGCATGAATCTAGTTGTCCATGGCTGGCTCTAGGAGGGAAGGCAGGCTCAATCCCTTGAAGAGTACAGAATCCATGAGGAATGCATAAGACTCAGTCCGAGGGCAGTGTTGGAAAGGAATTGCAGACTGGCTGTTTTTTTCCTTCTTCTCCAAACTCCTTTCCTCTTGCTTAGAAGGAATTAGAGAAAGGTAAGACAGGCCATTAAGCGGAGCTTTGGAGGAACTTTGGAGGAGAGGAATCTCCCTCTTCATGGGTTTTATACATAAGGTGACTCTCTATGTGCCCATGGGGGAAGTATGAGTAGAAAAGTGCAAGTTGTCACAATGCATGACCCTCTAAGAGTGACTTTAGAGAAATGTCCTCATGGGTGCTGTGCAAACTGCAAGTTTTCAGAATGACTAAAGTTTTAAAGTTTGAAACTAAATATCTTTAAAGTTTAAAGATATTTAGACAAAGTCTAAATATTTAGACAAAGTCTAAATAGCCTGTATGGCTCCTGACAGGATTGTTCAAGTAAAAAGAAGAATGGCAAATGGACAGAACCCATTGTGCACTTTTTGGCACTGAGATCGTTTGATGCTAAAGCTATAAATAAGAAACTAGAACACGCATCTTTCTGCTACTGCTTTGTTTTTCTAATGCAAGGTTTGTGCAGAAAAGGAAAATGTTCAACCAAAGCGCTGTCACTGAATTTCTCCTGCTGGCATTCTCTGACCGGAGGGAGCTGCAGATCCTGCATGTTGTCATCTTCCTAGTTACCTACGTGGTGGCCCTCATGGGCAATCTTCTGGTTATCTTGGCCGTAGCCTTTGACCACTGCCTTCACACCCCGATGTACTTCTTCCTGATGAATCTGTCCATCCTGGACCTCAGCTCCATCTCCGTGACTGTGCCCAAATCCATAGCAAATTCCCTACTCAACACCAGGACAATTTCTTATTCTGGATGTGTGGCCCAAGTCTTTCTTTTCTTCTTCCTTACTACTAACAACTTCATCGTCCTGACGCTCATGGCATACGACCGCTACGTCGCCATCTGCAAGCCCCTCTACTACAAAACCATCATGAACTTGAGACTTTGTGCCCAGATGATGGCTGGTGCCTGGTTCTTTGCTCTTCTGTACTCGGTGATGCACACTGGTAACACTTTCTGGCTACCTTTCTGTTCCTCAAATGTTATTGATAAATTCTTCTGTGACGTACCACAGATCCTCAGTATCTCCTGTTCTGATGCAGGCATCAGTGAACTTCTTCTTCTAACAATAAGTGCATGCTTGTATTTCATTGACTTCCTTTTCATAGTTGTGTCCTACTTTCATATTTTCTCTGCAGTGTTTAAAATCCCCTCAAAGCATGGCCGGCATAAGGCCTACACCACATGCCTTCCGCATCTCACCGTCATCTCCTTGTTCATTTCTACCGGGATCATTGCCTACGTCAAACCCTCCTCCCACCCCCCAGCAGTGCTGGACCTTATTGTTGATGTTCTCTATTCTGTGTTGCCTCCTGTCATGAATCCCGTCATTTACAGCATGAGAAACAAAGAAATCAAAGCTGCCATAAGGAAACTGATGGCTTGGAAGTTCTTCCCGCAGACAAAACTGTTCAGCTTTTGGCTGTGACCATGTCTTAATGGACATTTTCTGCATAGATTTAGGAGTCTCAAAGCATTTTAGCCTTTAGACGCAATTGTGGCATTTTCTCCCATCCGTAAGAAGTTACAACAGCAACAAATGTTCGTATTTATCTTCTGCAGTCATCAGAGGTCTTCTGAATTTGCACCAGGAGAAGTACAAATTAAATCTCTCTCTCTGTATATATCAGGTATATCTGTATATATCGCCACTATAAAGCGCTTGGCTGTATCTCCTTGATGACATCCCCATGAGCACCGTAAGGCTGTTCTCAAGTTTCTCTTTCCTAGGCTGAACCATCCTACTCGCCTCAGTGTCCCCTTACAGGACACGTGCTCAAGCCTGCCGACCATCTCGGCCACTCTGATGGACTCAATTCATTTTTTGGATGTCTCTCCTAAACTGGGAGCTTCTAAACCACTTTCAGTATTCCAGATGTGCTCTAATGAATCCTACTTAGAGGGATGACTTCCATTGAGCCTGTGCTCCTGTTGACGAAGCCTGGGCTCTTCATTCCTTCCCAGGTGCACATGGATAAGCTTCTTGCACTTCCTGATGGCCCATTTATCCTGCCTAAGTCCATGAGAATGGTGATCCATTGTATCAACTGCTCATTTCCCTCTTGTGTAGTCTACCAAATTGATGGAAAAGTGCTCTGCCATCTCCTCCAGGTCACTGGTAAAGACATTGGGATGGGTGTGCTCCCTCCCCAGGCTCACCTGACCTGCCACACAGAGCCCTACTCAAATGGAAATCACCAGTGGACTTAACTGTTTGTGGTGTCTACCTCCTTAGCTTCTCCCTAATCTCTACACCCCAAAGAGTGACCAAATGGCAACATCCTGCTAAGGAGATGTTCTCATGGACCCTGGGGAGAGCGACAGCAACAGCGCTATGGCGAGGAGTAAGGTGGTGTCAGCAAAACGTTGGCCGATAAGCAGTAATGACTATAAATGACTATAAAACGATCATCCATGAATAGGGGGACAACCCCAGAGCTTGTAGAGTTGTTTTTGCAAGGCAGAGGGCTGCACAGCAAGATCTCTCCTGGAGCAGGAACCCATCTCAAGGTTATCCCTTGAGTTTGAGAGCTCTTACCAGCTACAGATCCGTGGTAAGTGAATGTAGCAGGCAAAACCTTCTAACCCTTTGTAAGTTTTACTAAATTGTGTCCAGGACTGATTGTGCACATAATCCCTTAGACATAAACCGCTGACCAAGGCTGGGACTAGGATTGGATTCCTCCACAGCCCAGCTCCTTTCCATAGCTTGGAAAGCCAAGGGGTCCAATCCGAACCTTGTGACTCAATATCAGGAGTCGTCGTGTTGATTTTGTAGTTTAGCACGTGGTTCTTTAGTTTGGGACACATATTTTATCATTGATATTATACTCACAAATGCTAACATATCCCTTCTGGGTTTCCTGAGTTTTTTGGTGCTGTTGGTTTTTTATTCAGAGAGCTACTAGCTAGGAAGATGATGGGTTTTTCTCCCACGTGAAGTAAATGCCTATTTTGTTACACACGCAGGACAAAGGACAGCTTCAACATTAGGACTTTCTGCTGTTTGTATCAAAACTAAACTAACTAAATGTGTTAGTATTTAATAGGTAATTCAGATGTAAAGATGCTCTCTTTCCTTCATTTACCACTTTGAAAACAACGTGTGCGAGTGACAAAGGTCACCTCACTCTAGGAACTGAGCTCTGGGGTAGTAACTGTTAACTCCTCACAGTGTCCATCTTCAGCGTAGGGGACATTGAGCACAGATGTTCTCTGAGGAACGCAGGGAAGAAGGGGACAAGCTCTTCTCATTGGTGGCCAGCGATAGGACAAGGGGAAATGGGCATAAGCTGGAGCACAAGAGGTTCCATCTCCAGGTGAGGAGGAACTTGTTCACTGTGAGGGTGACAGAGCAGAGGAACAGGCTGCCCAGGGAGGTTGTGGAGTCTCCTACTCTGGAGGTCTCCAAACCCACCTGGATGCCACCCTGTGCCACATGCGCTAGGTGTGCCTGCTTGAGCAGGAAGGTTGGACTAGATGATCTCTAGAGATCCCTTCATTTGCACATTAGCAAGGCAACGTAGCAAGAGCCTCTGCAATCCGGAGCACTAGGAAAATGTGGCACTGCAGCCATCACCTTTGGCCAAGTCATGGTGGCAAAAAGCTGAGTTCGGAGGGTATGGAGAAAACCCCTAGAATTCCAGGTGTTTCAATGTGAGGGGAATATGTGGATATGCAGGGAGACCTCTCCAAGGATAGCAGGACAAGCTTTGGATGAAGAAACTTTGGATGAAGAAGCAGGAAACCTGGCTCGGGGGGCATTCCCAGGCACCTCTTTGCTGCCGTGCTGGACAAGAGAGGGGCTCCAGACAAGAAACTATTCCCAGAGAACCAACAAATAAAGGATGGATAAGTGGACAAATGGTCCCAGGTCCCCTCTGGGCTCTGCAGAGAAGCACCAGGAGAACAAGGAATCGCTCAGGTCACAGCCTTCTCCAGGACTGATGGAGTCTCACCACTGAGGATACTGGAGGCTGTAGCAGGAAACCAATTCCTCTAGTGCTCTGATGCCAAAGCCTCGTGATGGAAAGTGCCCTTCCCCAGTAGACTCTTATCTCCTTCCTTGGTGGGAGAAGGGAAAGCAGGAGTGAAGATTTTTTCCACAGATCTTCCTATGGAGGAAGAGTCTTCTGCCTCATTCCAGTAACTGTAATTGTTTCCTTTAATAAAGTCCTTCATAATACTGCTGTCTCTTTCCTAATGATGACAGGTACGAAGCTTCTGACTCTCCTTTGATGTTCTACCCGGAAGGCTTTTCTCTTTTCTCTTTCTTTCTTTCTTTCTTTTTTTTTTTTTAATTTTATTTTTAAACTGCCCCAGTTTCAGGGGGAAGCAGGAAACAAGTTACCATGGAAACCCAAACGTCACCTGCCTTTTTCATTTCCACATTTCCTGCCCTTTATCTCATGGAAAGCATCTTGCCACAGTGCACCCGGCTTTCAAAGCTGTGGAGAACTGTGGTTAGACTGTGGTTGGCTGCCACAAATGGCAGACAGCCAAGTGGGTCACCTAGCGCCGCTCTAGTGCAGCCCCCCAGCCCTCCCGTGCCCCCCACAGGCACATACCCCATGGTGGTCTTACAGCACCTCCATGACCACCTTGGCACCGTGGCAGCTTTTCTGCAGCCTGAGGAACTGATGAAAGATGAAAAGAGCTGCCGAGCTGTGCCAGTGCCTTGGGCAGATCTGCACTGGAGCTGGTCCAGCTCAGTGAGGAAGGCTGCACCTCAGACTGAACCTTCCCCAAAATCCTTACCCTCTAAAGCTTGATGGAACGCTTTAACTCAGAGGTTCTCGCTCTTGACCTTCGCCTTTTCAAACCAAGACTGGCTTCTGCATCAAGACCCGTTGCATCCTAGTCCTGACAGGAAAATTAGCACCTTGTAAAGATCAGATTATGGGCACGTGATGGGATACTATGACCTGCTGGGCTAATATCAGCTACAGCTTCTCCAGCTTTGCTCACAGGTTTAACCTGGGTTACCTTAAAGTTGGTGTTCAATTGTGCTGATCGTGCTTCACACTTGTCAGTTCTAGAGTTGACTGGATAGGTAGAATGTGTGTTGAGCTTATGGTCCAAAGAAATCCTTGTCTGCTGAGACAGAAAATTAACTACGGGCTTCAGTAGCTTCAGCTTCTCGGGGCTGATTAATGGTCCCTGTTCTTCCTTTCTTCCTTTCAGCACTTCTGGCTGTGCTGCAGCCATGAAGTCCCTGAGCTGGAAACCTGGAGCTTCTAAATCCGTGCCTGATGTAGASTCTGAAGAGGTTTGAGGGCACAGGGCTTGTTCTTCTCTTGAATAAGGTGCTGTACCGGTCTGTGCTGAGAACAGAGGAACTGTGCCAGCTCTTAGCTCTGCCAGAGCGTTAAGCTGTGCTTGTTCCTGAAAGGGGGAACTCTGAACTGGTGTTAGGGTGCTGGAGGGCAGCAAGGATGGGACTGGGTGGCATGAGAWGAGCYAGGCAGGTGACAGACAGAGCTAACCTSTCCATAGGAGGAGGAAMAAACTGGGGGTCTCTCCTTTGCCATTCCTGCTGTTGGTATTTTGTAAACTGAGTGCCTCCTTGTGGGTTTGTGCAGTTCAGTCTACCCTGTCCCTCTGTCTTACAGAGAACCTTGTAGGCTGGGCCTCCTTGTGGCCACTTGTGCAAGCTGCACAGGAGCATGTGAAAGAAGAATTGTATTATGAATGTTCTTGTTTTTCTGACTTTTACTGACTTTCAGTGCCTCTTGTTGCCAAGATTTCAGTCCAAGACTTCAGATATTATTAGAGCTACTTCTACAGCTGAATGAGCTTCAAAAAATCTATAAGGATCTTCAGCCTGTGCTCCTTRKAAAKACTATGTTACAGTCCCTGTTCATTCTGTAAAAGAAGGCTAGAGAACAGGGTGTTTCTTCGCAAAGCCCCTGCAAAAGATGCAAACTGATCTCCAACCATTCCATAATTAGGAATTAGGGGACTGGAAATGGCATGGGCAGGCGGGCAGCATGGACCACGGCAACCTTTTCCCTGCCAGTGTGAGACACGCCTGTCTGCCCTGCTGCTTTTGCCCCCTTTCTCTTTTGATGAGGTGGAAGTAAGGTTTTCCTGCACAGATTCATTACCTATATAGTGGGGTACAGAGCCCTATGAGCAAAGGCACCCCCCACTCTTGAATTTCTCTTGAATTTCTTTTCTACCCTTCTTTGCTCCAGCGACACTATCTGTGGCTCTGGCTTTTCTGCTCTGCCCACAGCTCCTTCCACCCAAGCTGAGGCTGTGGCGAGAGGGCAGGAAGGGTGGGCGCCTTAACCCCATTCCACTTTGGCTTGTGGTCTAACGTCTGCTCTCTTCTCCTGCGCGCGTTTATGGGTCCTTGCCGCGTGCCACACCAGCCCCGCTCCCTCTACCTTGTTTTTTTTGTGCTCCACGTTCCGGAGGAAGCGGTTTCTCTGATGGGGCTTGGGGCAACAAAGTGACCCAGATCTCGCTTGTGTCATCATGGAACTTGTTATGCACAATTTTCGCTTTACCGCTTGGGCCACGAGACCCAGTCTGCTTCCTGCCCTGCTTTGTTTTTTCCTGCCCTCATTTTCCACTGTGTTTTTTTCTCTCTTTTGAAGTAAACAAGAAAGCACAAAGGGACAACGTGGTCAGAGATGATGGTGATGAGAGATTGAAACCCCGATATCTGAGAGTATCTTCAAAACAGACCTACAAATTCACTATCTTGCTAACATTCATTTCAGATAATTTAATTTATATATACGCTCATCCCCTCGTTCAAACAATCTTACAGTTGGGAGCATTTACTGGAGGAGAAAAGACTGAGACGTGTAAACTGAGGTAGGCAACAAACAATCCTCATTGACCCTGCAGCAAGGAGTGTTTTTGAAGTGCAACACAAAAAAATCAGCATGGATAATAATCTAAAAAAAAAAGTTGTTGCAAAATATCAGGGAGTGTGGAAACTGCTCTTGCACATCCCTGCATTTTTAAACAAGAATAATCAGTTGGGAGTGTGGGAAAGTGGGATCGATACGGCCCGGTAACTCAAAAAGGTCAAAGCAGAGGCATCAAAACTCTTCCTCCATCGTGTAGCAGCCCTAATGACAAAGAGTTGAAGCTTCAGGAGCTTCAAGAATATAATTTAGAAGTTTAAATATCACTGTGCTTTCTACAGCTAGGGAAAAATGAGGCTGTTTTGCTGAGGAAGGGGTAGGAGGATGAATTCCTCAGCATCTATGCTAAACTAATCCAAGTAATCTGAGCTAAGGTTAGGAGAGCAAATAGGCCTGTACAATTTGAAGTTATTCCTGAGCAGGAGTGATCAGTAACTCTGTCACTCTGTGACAGACCACCTAATTAGTGGTCAGGTGGCAACATCATCATACAAGATCAGGGAGATTTTGGTGTTTTGCTGTTCAGCAGTGTGGACTCACAATTTGTGATAAGGATCTTCACATGTTCTGTGCAGTGGCTGCAAACAGAGACTCTCTCCCACATGGAGGATCAGGGCTTTCGATAAAGAGCGTTTGAAACACGAGCTTTTCCAAAATCAGAGCCCCTTGCAATGGCTGTGAATGCAGAATGGTGAGAAAAAACCTGGGAAAGAGAAACATCCCTACTGGTCTGGTGAGTTTTCCCCTGCCACTTCACATTGTGAAGGTGTTTGAAGGTGTTTGAGTCTTGGTGAGACTTGAGAGCACACATCTCATCTCTCCCTTTGGACAAATCTCTGTGCTTCAGGAGATAAGAACAGCGCTCACAAAAGGAGAAAAGCTCATGTTTGTCATCCTCCCAATGACGAGCTGCGCCTTGAGACCCCGACCACTCAGTTTGACATCATTAACACAAACCAGACTCTTTGTGCCCTCTTAGAAGCAGGATCCTGGCTCCTCCATCCCCCATAGCACCAGATATCTGCCTCTCAGAAGCTGGACCACCAGTGTGACCAAGCTGTGCTTCATCCTCTCTTTCACATAACACTGGTTCCTGGAGGAACCTGGAGGAGACATCATTTGTTCTACTCTCCCTCCATCCAAGCCAACCAAGCAGTGCTCTCCCACACTGAATACAGCCAGAAAGTACGTCTGACTTCGTGAGAAGAGATGTGGCCATTGGGCAGTGAGGTGGACTGAGAACTGGTTGGACGGCAGAGCTTAGAGGGTTGTGATAAATGGGGCTGAGTCCAGTTGGAGGCCTGTGACCAGTGAGGGTGCCCGAGCCCTGTCACAGGCTGGGGAGTCTCCTTCTCTGGAGGTCTCCAAACCCACCTGGATGCCTGGATCTCACAGCCCTGAGGACTGCGCTGCCGTCCAGAGGGACCTGGACAGACTGGAGGACTGGGCGGTGAGAAACCTCATGAGGTTCAACAGGGGCAAGTGTGGGGTCCTGCACTTGGGGTGGAATAACCCTGGACACCAGTACAGCTTAGGGGTGGACCTGCTGGAGAGCAGTCCCGCAGAGAGGGACCTGGGTGTCATGATGGGTGACAAGGTGACCATGAGACAGCAGTGTGCCCTGGTGGTCAAGAAGGCCAATGGGATCCTGGGGTGCATTAAGAAAAGCGTCTCCAGCAGGTCAAGGGAGGTGATCGTCCCCCTCTACACAGCCCTGGTGAGGCCACATCTGGAGACTGTGTCCAGTTCTGGGCTCCCCAGTACAAGAGGGATGTGGAGCTGCTGGAGAGAGTCCAGCACAGGGCTACGAGGATGATCAGGGGCCCCGGAACATCTGCCCTGTGAGCAAAGGCTGAGAGAGCTGGGTCTGTTCAGCCTGGAGAAGAGAAGGCTGAGGGGGGACCTGATCAGTGTCTCTAGATACCTCAAGGGAGGCGGTGAGGAGGAGGGGGCGGCCTCTTTTCAGTGGTGGACAGCGATAGGACTAGAAGAAATGGCTTCAAACTGAAGCATCGAAGTTCCACAGGAACTTAAGGAAGCATTTCTTCACTGTGAGGGTGACAAAGCACTGGAACAGGCTGCCCAGAGAGGTTGTGGAGTCTCCTTCTTTGGAGATCTTCAAAACCCGCTTGGATGCAGCCCTGTGCCACGTGCTCTAGGTGACCCTGCGTGAGCAGGGGGGTTGGACTCAATGACCTCTGAGGTCTCTTCCAACCTTGGGCATTCTATGATTCTATGATCTCTAGAGGTCCCTTCCAACTCCAACCACTGTGTGATCCCCCCGCAGTGGAACAAAGCCATCACCAGAAACTACGCTTTGTGGGCAAGTCAGGCCGGAGGAACTGGCAAAACAATTCCAAACGGAGCAGCATACACATTCCACAGGAACACATTATTGCTAGGGAGCACACCACGCCAACAGTCAGTATTTCAGTATTGTTTTATGCAATGGTTTAAAAAAACCCCAATTTCTCAAAGTCAGAATTTCACAAAGTTTAGGACTTCTGAAAGATCTACAGGAAAAAAAAAGAAAAAAAGATAAAAAAAGATATCCTGCTCTGCAAAGGCTGCAAGACACAGCACCCTGAAGGAGATTTCCTGTGTTTTTCACAATTTTTGTTTACCGCTGAAATGCGGCTGGCAGGCAGGAAGCCTTAAGATGTGCATACATAAAGCTGCCAAAATATGAAATACACTTAAGAGATATTTATCTTGCAACTTTCAGCATTACTCCCCCAAGCAGAAATTATACAGGTAATTTTAATGCAAACAGCAGGCATGTTTTGACAATCTGTATTTAATAGCTAGCTGTGCTTCATGAAAAATTGCTGTGCTAATGACTCAGGTATGTGGGAAAGCAGACTTCTGAGAGTTAAAACTTATATTTGAAGAGCTTGTAATTAAAGCAACTTAATATCTAATGGCTGGTATGATATACAGAAGCAGCAAGTGATATTTGTTGAAAGAGAAATTTGTTCCTTCTTGCATATGGTGCTGCAGGTCTGTGCTGCCAGGTTACATTCATTCCTGGAAAAAAAGAAATAACAGCTTATTAAGCCGTGATTTGGGTTAGAGTCCCAGCTAAATAAGCATAGACTGGATGTTTCTCATTAATAGAAAGAGGAGAATGGGACACTGGGCCTCGACTAACAAATTAGGTGTGAGGTCTTAAAGCCAATGAGATGAATTTTTCCTGGCTGGTGCTTGATTGGGGATTGAAGCTGACGGATAAGGGCAGATATGGGAAGGAAAAAGAAACAACAGAGAGATATGACTAGAAAAAAAGTTGTTAAATTTGCATGCAAATAAAATATATATATATACAAATATAATTGGAGGTGGGGAAACTAATTTTATGGCCTGATAAAGATCTGCAAAGGAGGAGAGGGACTGAACTAACAGCAGGGAAATGATCCACGCAGAGACTGTATAAACAGCTATTACAGGGAGAAGAGTCACTCATGGCTAGTGCATTGATCCTAATATTTTCTGCCAGAGGCTTCCCCACCCTCTGTGAGCACTTACTTTTTTTTTCCACATAAGCATTGTTATCAGTACGTTAAAAATGATTCCTTTCATGAAAATTATTTTCAGGCCCAGCTGGGAGAACGACAGCAGGTTCAGCTTCTCATCTGGAAGAGACAATGAGAAGAAAGGTCACCAGAGCACCGAGACCTTCTAACTGCAAGGCAGATGGAACAGTGTTTTTTTAATGAAATTGTCGCACTTTGTATGATAAAATTTGCTATTAGAGTAGTTAAAGAACAAGATTGGCTCAGTGAGAGATTTTCATTCCTTCCAGTYCTTGTCTCAATCTTTTCATCCAGTAACTCCATCCAGCGTTCAGTTTCATCCAGTGCTTGGTTTTCCGATAGGCAATTATGCCAATCATCTAGCTCTTGCTACAAGCAGCGTGCTATGAAACTGGGGTGCCGGAGGAGTCCTTCCTCCCTTGGCCCATGAATTTCTTTAAGAAAGAAGTTTAAAATCTCTTCAAGAAAACAATGCAAATTTTATTGAAAAAGCAAAGTCCATTTGGATATTATATTTGTCTTCATTTCAAAGCCAGTTTCATCCCAAAATACATTGGCCTCTATTTAGAAAGTAGAAAACTATTATCAAAAAAAAAAAAAGAAGAACCAGTTTGTATATAGCTTTGAAATTTTCTCTCTGAATTGATGGGCTGAGCTAGTGCAGCTTGCTGAGGAGTGTTTTCCTGAAGTGTTATTCTGGAAACTTTCCCGTGCCTGGTTTCTTTGCAGCACGGCCTCGGGTCTGCAAGAGCTCAGCTTTTCTGCAAACAGGACTAATGCCCAGGGAGACCCGGCTGCTTGGACGAGCAGGAGCAGCAGCTGCTCGAGCGTCAGGACTGCCTGATGTCCACCCAYGGGCRCMRCAAGCTGAGTTARAGCTTGCTTGGTATCACCTTGATATTACTGCAACTTGCTTCTGCATACCCGCTGGAGAAACCGTCTGCTTGTTTTGGGGCTCCTTGGGTGTTCGTGCACCCCAAAATTAAACCAGCTCTTTKGAAGTCTGAAGTGCATTCACTGAAGCTGCCTTAAGTCTGTACTTTAAATCATTTTACAGAAGCTTTATAGAAAAGAATGGTTATTTGGCAAGATCTAGCTAAAATGTGTGTTCATGCCTGTGGTGGTTGCATAAAATGACTAGCTCAGATCTGAAAGATCACATTAAACTGATGTTTAAATCCGGTGATASTCATTTGGAAATTCACAGTCTGAACTTTCTACTGCAACAGGAATTATACAAATAGATACCAGAGARCAGYASCCAGGTAATTTTTTTACACTTTACACTTAAAATGCTTTGTTCATACCTGTCCTGAAGTGCTGGGACACTCTTGTTACGCAGACAGTGCTAGCACCTGCAGATAGAGCAACAGAGCTAATTAACATTAGTAACGGACTTTGTCAGGAGTTCATAAAGATGTCTCTCTTTGCAAGGTTTGGGTTAACGTCTCTGGCCATTACTGTCCCCCATGAACAGTCATTTCTGCTATTTCCTGGGCAAGCCTAGGAGAAGATCTAATGAAGCACTCATGTTGCATCAGACAAAGCAATTCTGCATTTGAGAGCCCTCACAGTGTGATTTAGAGCTCTCTGTCCTTTGACTGTACCAGTCTACTGGCCTTTAGTCTCGTTTCCACGGAGGAAGAAGGCAAAAGAAAATCTTTTAGAACCAACAGGGCAATGTTCCTCCTCCCTGAGGGARTATTTCAGCACTGCCACAAGGTCTGTGGCACTTGTTCARTTCTTGCTTATGCTGATTGCATGGASAGCAGATCATCCCCAGCTCCACACACACCAATCACAGTTACCATTGTGATGGACATTACCATGTTCAGGATCTTGGCCTTCTAGCTCTCCAAAGCCCTCATGCGTTGCGCTGCACTGCATTTCATTTCTGTTGGCCCAGTACGTTGACAAGTAGCTTGATTCCTGCTTATCCTCTGATGTTACCGTCTCCACGATGACATCTGTCTTCGTTTCAGTCAYGTCAGATTTAAGCTTGTCGGGGGAGTAATCTGTGATGAGGCACATTTCCAAACCCTCATTGTCTTTAGAAGTCAGCCTATACACTGAAGGAGATGGAGTAACATCTGAAAGAGGAGAAGAGAAATGACAGTTCAGTCACAGTKTCTTCTGTCTTGCTTGAAGTATGGAGGTTTAAGTGGGAAGATGCCTCATCATGGGCATCTTGTGCTAAGACGCTTTCAGAGAGAAAAGGCTTTCACAGTAGATCAACAGAGAATTCACAGAATCACAGAATATTCAAGGTTGGAAGGGACCTCTAGAGATCATCTAGTCCAACCTTCCTGCTCAAGCAGGCACACCTACAGCATGTGGCACAGGGTGGCATCCAGGCGGGTTTTGGAGACCTCCAGAGTAGGAGACTCCACAACCTCCCTGGGCAGCCTGTTCCACTGCTCTGTCACCCTCACAGTGAAGAAGTTCCTCCTCACCTGGAGATGGAACCTCCTGTGTTTCAGCTTATGCCCATTACCCCTTGTCCTATCACTGGCCACCAATGAGAAGAGCTTGTCCCCTTCCTCTCTGCATTCTCCCTTCATGAACTTATACATGTTAATCATATCCCCTCTGAGCCTTCTCTTCTCCAAGCTGAACAGGCCCAGCTCACTCAGTCTCTCCTCATACAAGAGATGTTCCAGTCCCTTAATCATTTAAGTTGCTCTAAGTGCTGGAGTCGCAATTGTGCTGGAGTCACAAGTGATGTTGAGACACGATCCATGAAGCCTCACAAATGACATTTAGTTGAACATCCGCTCTGCAATAGCTTGTTAACCTCTACCATACAACCTGGTTCTTGTTGGATCTTGACCTGAAAGAATTTAGGATCCTACATGGCACCAGCATAGAGAGCACTTCATTCCTGCTTGACCGCCTTGACATCATGTGTCTAGAAAGGACTGAGTAGTGTGGAGCTACCGAAGAACACTGACATCACCCTCGCCTTCCTCTCTTCCACAAATGTGTTCTTAAATCCATCACTGACATTCCGATTCCCACTTTCTCCAATACTGAAGGACAGTGGATTAACTAAGACATCTTAAAGATGTCCACGGTCACTGTCTAGCTAACCGTTCCCATTGCGAAGAGCAAGGAAAGCCTTGCAAAGCAGCAACATATGTTTTTTTTTGGGGGGGAAAGAAATATTAAACAAAACTTTCACTATATTCTAACAGTATAGCTTGTAGTATAGCTGGCAGGGCTGGGGGGAGGGAAGCTCCTAAATTTTGCCCTGAAAAAGAAGGGTTTTTTGTTACTAAAGATGAAAAATCTAAGATTTCTGGTTTTGATTGCTGTTTTCTGGCTTCAAATTCTACTTGAAAATTAATCACACTAGGATTTTCCACACACATCAAAATGCTTCCTGTAAATAAACTTTTTGCACATTCAATTTGGTAAGACTGTACTCAAGACACGCATTTCTTCTTATCCAACTCTCAAAATTTCTGATTCTCCGAGAAGGTGTTTTCTCCAAATTTTCTGCATGCACAATGATAAAACGTTATCTGTATTGCAGTACTCTATCGGTGAATAGATAAAATGTGATTAAAGATATAGCACAGCCAACTTGAGTGCATTTTTCAGTTGCACTCCTGGCGATCACAGGTTCGAACCAGAGCTTCGATTCACATTTATAATCTTACCATGGATTACTGTGTAGGTTTTAGAGTTTAGAACAATGTCTGCTTAGGCCCTGCTCACAAAGTTGATAATATTATATATACTTCATTTCTATATTCTATATATTTCTATATTATATACAGAAACAGAATATATCTATATTCCTTTATTTAGGGACAGCAATCAGTTGCCAGATTAAGAAGTTTTCAGTTCTTCCCACTGGGAAATTTGGTGTAAAAATCTTGGCTTTTAGAAATTGTCTCAAAATGTTATTGAAGCAGAAGGCCTTAGTTCACCAAGAGAAACATTTCTCATCTATTCAGTTCCCAGCTGTCAACATCTTAGAGAAATATCCATAATTTACTAGGGTCAACTCAGAAGGACATTATCTACAAAGCCAAATAGTCCTTTTATTTCTGGCCTTTTTCCTGAATTACAGTTTTTCTAACCCATCTTTGCCCTGGCTTATGGATCCTAGAGAGAAGAGCAGGAATTGATGGTGCTTCATAGCTTCTCTCTCACAGTGAATGCTCAGCTGCCTCTCTCTATTAGGGGGTTTTGCTCCCTGTCAAACTGTGCAATGTTCTCATCTTGATTAGATACAAATTAAGGACTATTTTTGCAGGCAGCTTCAGCAGCAGCTCCTTTGCAACACACACATTTCTCATTCTTGCTCACCATGATTGCTGGTTTTGCTCTGACATCAGAGGCTGTTTTCTGATAAGCTCCTTTGCAGATTTTTGCACTGCTATGAAAATTTGCAGAGCACGGTCTTGGTCAAGATCAGCTACTTTAACCACAGCGCTGTGACCCACGTTTCCTGTATTTTGTTGGGTCAATTGGTGGCTGCGTTGAAGATGCTCTATTTATATCTGTGACCTTCTCAGTTTACAAGAAAGACTGAGGAGTGGCTGCTCAGCGATGCTCTCAGCCATCCACCCACCTTATTTCATCCTTACTAGAGGACATCTTCCAGAGAGAAGAAAAGGAGATATTTGAATGCTATTGCTGACTAGTTTACAGAAAAACTTCAGAGGGTGGTTTAAAGCAGAGCCATAGAAGACTTTCTCAGCACTCTACCAAGACCTCTACTATTTTATTTATTTTTTTCCAAAGCAGGGGCAGTAGAAGTCTTTAGCTGGCTTAATGCAAAACCTGGATTATATATTGATCCATCCTGGTCTTCATTGTCCCTGAAGTAAAATTTCTTAATCTGGTTGGACTGGAACCAGCAGGAAATCATTTGATCCTCTCTACAATTCCTCTACCAAACCCATATGATTTTCCACAAACTAGAGTCAATCTGGAATCATCCCCCGGTTCAGAGGAAAGATATGTCCCAGCACATGCTCATAGGTTAATCTTGACCCTGAAGGAGTAATTCCAGAGACTGAACGTTCATGTCTAATGATGTTTGCTGTCTCTCCTTGGGTGGAAGTTCCAAAATTCCCTTGCAAAGCCTATGTGATATCTGCCAGGCCTGCATGGATGGTTAGATGTCTACACCAGAAGTCTATGTTTAGACTTCCAGATTCTCCATCCCAGTACACTGGATTTGGAGACGTGCAGTCTAATTCATATCTAATCCAGTCTTCAAAATTTACATGTGAATGGGATGAAATTCACACATTTTTCTATTGGCCGACAAGCCTCAGCAATGGCTAAGGTCAATGAAATTGCATGGTCATTAATCTATGAGCGTTATTAGTCTATAATTAAATTAATCTATGATTAATCACTAATCTGTAAGTGTCAATGTTGTCTCATTTCCTATTATACCCAGGCTTCCTGTTTCAACTTCACCAGCATCCTCTACAGAAAGAATCCTAAATTCATTTTCTTTCAGTTCTCCTTCCTCCCTCGTAATTCAGTTTATTCTTCATAAAGGCAGGCCTATTTGGAAACAGAGGTCAGGGGACACTGCTCCCCTCGTCACAGCCTGTCCTCCAGACCTTAATCACCCAAGTTGACTTTCAATCTGCTCTGTCTTCCAAACACAAGATTACGTGTCTTCCAATTCCCCACCTCACAAGAGACCTTCTCAATAGCTTCTTACCCTTAGTAGTACCATGGGTGCTGCTTACTTGGCGAAACTGCAAGTCTTGTCCCAGATCCAAATGTGAGTGTGGAAGTACTTTTATAGTCACACTATGGCACGGGCTTATACAATATCCAGAGGTCTTGGGTGGAAGTTTCAACTCTGAAACAGCCCATGCAAGGAAATTCTACTTATGCCCATGATTACAAAGATCTGTCTATCTAGGACTATTCTTCTCTTTTCTTTTTATTTCCTTTTATCAAACGGTATGTTGCCTTCCAAACATTTCATTCTCACTCTTCCTTAGTATTTCCCTCCATCGGTACCCAACTGAACATGGTTCTAGGCAACCTGCTCTAGCTAACCAGGCTTGAGCAGGGAATTTGGATCAGACAATCATCAAAGGCCCCTTCTATAATCCTGTGATAATTATCTCATTGCTCCCAGAAATTCACCCGTGTAATAGACAGTGATTTTCACTGTCATTCCTCAATTACTTAGTGTCACTGGTAGCCAAATTCCCTTCCCCTTTTCCTTTTCCCGAATTAGTATTACATTATCTACTGTTACTTCCTAGCTGACCACATGGTGAACAGTGTGGCACAAAGTCCATTATCGTATTCACTTGAATTTACCAGCTGAATTGGTCAAGGGCGACCTCAGAGCTCATATGTACAATGGTACTTATGAGGACGATTTAGCTTATAAGCAGAAAAGATTTCTCTGGGTTACTCTCTCAGGATCTAACTTTCTTTTCTTCCCCAAGGAATTTCAGATAAAAAAAAAAAGTTCTTATTTTTTTCTTAAATTTCCAAAAAGAGTAAAAGAGTGGAGAGAAGGAGACAGAGGGATGAAATAAAAATAAATCATACATTTGGGAAATGGAAGTTACTCACAGAAACCAGGAGCTTAGTCCCTTTCGAAATGCAATTTTATTCTAAGCTGTATTATACACTACACGGCACTTAAAATACGGTGCATAGTTTAAAGACACTCTCTAAGGTACCCCAAAATATCTGTTTAAAAAACTTGGAAAGAAAGATATTGGAAGTCTAGTATTCTTGGACTGCTGGGTTTGCTTATTATTTTTTCCAGCTGCAGGAGTTGCCCAACGTGGGGTTTTTTTTGGGGTGTCAATCAGCATAGGAAGCATTGCTTAACCTTATTGAAAGTTATTTGAGAAGGAATACAAGAAAAGGTTTGTGCATGGCAAAGCAGGCTCTGCTCTTCCTTGCAGTCTCTGTCGGTGGGTGGGAACTTGGGGACTTGGAAATGGAGAGCTTCGTGAACCATCAACTTACCCTTCATGAACAAATATCTGTTTAAACTGACCTTGCCTGACCATCTTGTGGCAGCAACACTTCCATCATTACTTTTTCAATCATCTTCATCTAGGTAAAATTAATTTTTGGT